GTATCATAACAGACCAAATACTTGAGAGGCCTGCTGTTCCCTGTAAATTTATGTTCTGTGACCCAGTCCTTATGTGGGGATTTTAGAGGTGGTTTCTTTGGGAGGTGGTTACATCATGAGGATGGATCCTTCCCAAATGAGATTAATGACCTTACCGATGAGGTTCTGGAGAGTGCCCCTACCCATTGATATGCTAGGTTTCAGCAAGAAGTCAGATATTAATTGGGCCTTACCATTCCCTGACCCTGGACCACAGCTTGCAAAAGTGTAGGAAATAGATTTCTGTTGATGGCATGTCAGGCTATAGTTCCTTGCTATAGCAGTCAACCCTAACGGATAAAATATAGGATCTATGCTATCACAACTTTTAGTATAAGAGAAAAACTGGAAATAAAATAATTTTTGATCATAAATACATTTGAAAATATGATTATTTTTTTCTGTAACTCTTTTTGTTTGTTTGCTTTATCTGGACAGGGTTTCTCTATGTAACTGCTCTAGCTGTCCTGGAACTAGCTCTGTAGACGAGGCTGGCCTTGAACTCACAGTGATCTGTCTGCTTCTGCCTCCCAAGTACTGGAATTAAAGAGATACATGACCATCACCAGACATTTTTGCCACACAAACTTTTTTGCCAGTTCAAACTATAAAATTGAGTCATCTGAATCCCCCAGGATACCAAAAGTCCCTGACAGGGAAGAAAGGATTCCTGCCATTTGTGTTCATTGATACAATGTTATCACTGAATTATATACTTGGAATCTCACAAGTTTAAATTGAATTATTTATTCTGAACCATAGCATGAAACTAAAATAGCAAGTATGTAACATGTTAGGTTTTCCCCTCAAGCCTGATTCTCTCTTCTTCAGATGAACCCAGGGCTAATTACCTCTGACCTTAGAGCTCTCAGGGAGACTCTGAAAGGACTTGGGCTACCTCCTACATTCCCAAGACCCATGAGAAACAAAGATGGAAAGACCAGGTGCGTCAGAGGGAACAGAAAGCAATTATTAGGACAAATTCAAACAAAATATCTGACTACACTGCAGGAAGTAAAATTAGTCTTCAGATGGGAACAAAATTTGTAAAGTGAAAAACTTAAGATGAATCTATTCTCACAATGCAAAATTAATTCAAAGTTCTTATAAACCGAGAATTGCTTCTGGAAGACACCATAAGTACAAAGACATCCTTTCTTCTAAAGAAGCGACTATTACCTAATTAGGTTACAGTCAATACTTGATTCAATTTCCTGGCTTTTCTATAGTCCAGTTTTCAATGGAAATAATTTGCAGTGTAAAGAAACTTATGAAAACATGGCTATTTCACAATTGCAAATGACCAACCTGAACATCCAACAACTATATCAAGGCAGAGCTTTTGAAATTTAGTAGACAAAATGCAAAGTGTTTCCTTAAATTTGAATTTCAGATGATCTCTAAAAATTACAAGTATATGACAAGTATTCAATGAGAATATCCTAACAATCATTTTGAGGTGAAAAATACTTCATCATACTAAAACATCTCATTAAATTTAGTACATTGTAGTGCACTAAACTTGTTTTGCATTATAAAATTATTCGTTATTTCATATTTGAATTTGACTGTGTCTCTCTACTTTATCTACTAATTGTGTGCAAGGATGTTTCTAGTGGTGATTATTTGCTTCTTTTAGACTATCAGTCTGTGATGGGGATGGTGATATTCCCTCTTAAACAGTGCCTGATATGTAATGGACATAAAGCTGGAGTGACCAAGTGATTCACTCAGAAGTCTTTTTCCCCTTTGAAAATCCCAAGTTCTAAAGTGTTTGGTAGTCTTCAATTGAGCATTCATTCTCTCCCTCCAGACATATTTCTAAATTGGGTATAATCAGATGGCCAGATCCCTTCTTTTGTCAACCAGATCCCTTCTTTGTCTCAACATTCAGTGGTAAATAATACATTCTGAGAGTGATGGTGAAGATGCTACCAGGCTTTGGTTTGTACAACTTCCTCTAGGATTGTATATATATGATCATCAAATAGATGTAATTTACTAAGGTTTTACACAAAGGTATTCTGTCTCTATTTCTGATCAAATGTATGTATGCTTGTGCATACAGATTACATATAGTTGAACATGCATATACTGGCAAATATTCAGATATTCAAATAAAGGCATGTGATTTGTGATTTATTTTACATGTGTGTATGTGTGTATATTTCTAATAAGAGAACTTTCATGTGGCCCTGGCTGCCCAGGAGCCCACTGTGTAGACCAGGCTGGCCTCAAACTCACAGAGATCTGCCTGCCTCTGCCTTCTGGGTGCTGATAGTAAAGGCATATGCCACCCTGCCCAGCCTGATGGCATGTGATTGTATCGGTTTAGGATCAGCTCACAAAGGCTGATGCACATTCTTGAGGTGACACTTGTCAGAACCTGTAAAAAGCTCTACAGCAGACTCCCGATGCTCTTGCCTACTTGATGTCTTCTATTCTCCCATGGTTTGACACTTCCAATGGCTTAATTTCCAAGAACTTCACCCTCCCTCCATAGAACTCTCAAAACCACTTGGACTGCGTCTCCAGGTCAACTTTCCATTGCGGTTACACTGGAGAATTAGTCGATACCTTGTTTCCCTGCAAACCTCAGTACTGAATGATCCCTCTATGCTGGCTTTTGTGCCTTCCCAGAGGATTGGGTAATATTCTGAACTATGAGAATGGAGTTTTAGAGAAACTTTAATTTCTATCTTGGTTATGTTTGGTGAATCAACTCTAATAATGTCTTTCTAATAGGGCCAACTAATGAAGAGCTAACATAATCATTGTTATCGATAGACTATTCTCCCAGGCTAGTGGAAAAGCCTTGATAATTGAGACCTCTTGTATTGCCACACGTTCCCTCGTGTAAACTCAGCTCTTGCTTCTCCTCCTCCCTCTTTCTCCCTTCTCCTCCCTCCTCCTCCTCCTCCTCCTCTTCTTCACCTGTTTATTTCCAGGGGTGGTGCATGCCACGGCCTTTGAGTAGAAGACAGAGGACAGCCTATGGAAGTCACTTCTCTCCATCCGATGAGGGACCAGAAGATCAAACTCTGCCCATTGGGCTTGGTGGCTAGAGCCTTTATCCAGTGAGCCATCTGGCCTGTCCAGCTTCTTCTAAGCAACCGAATTTCCTTTAGTTGTTCCCTAGGTGTTCAGATCTAGTGAGATGGCTCAGCATTTCAGGCACAAGCTTCTTCACAGGAAATCTATGCTTGTCATAGTACGCGCATTCTCAGTCTCAAGGAAATCAAAGTGCTTTCAAAGGAACATGTGACTTCAGTGCCTTTCAGTTTGTTCTCCCCCCCCTCCCCGCCCCACCTAGATAGTCAGATTTTCCAGTTCTCCTTTCTGCATAAATACACATCTTTAAGTAAATGTCCCTGTCTACTGCAGTCCATATTCAATAAGCATTCTCCCCCACCGCACTCAGGGCGCATTTATAATGAACACACACACCTGTTGTTATGGTAGCAAAAACGGCTAGAAATTTTTTCCCCCTGTTTCCACTATTTCTTCCCTATTTCCACTCTCAGTCTTCATTAGAAACTCTGTGGCATTCTTGTTTCTATGCATGGGAAGAATAGGGTCAAGGATCAAATTCTTAGACTGATCCGTGCTCCAAAACAAACACGCTAGCATCAAGATCTGCCCTGTCATGACTACAGTGCATTTTCTCCATTCACAAACCGATAGCAAAATGCATCGTTAGCTCTGTACATTGAGCCTGTGTTCTGAGGCGGTGGGAATTCTGTGAGAACTGGTAGTGGCAGCTGAAACAGACCTCGGAATTCCAATTTGTATGCATTAAGCGTCCGTTGAATTTTATAAAGCTACAGCACTGGCTTTGAGACAATAACAGAACACAAGAGTACACGCTGTACAGATCCCTACATCAAACTGAGTACCAGGGATAATTCCAGAACTTGGTTTTCTGTGCCTTTGGATGTGACTCCTGAAAGGTTCTAAATGGAGTCTCTTATCAGGGCAAAATGGACCAATTATATATCACATCACATATATGAAAATCTCACGAATATTCAGGATGGCGTCTTTAGACTGTTGGCTGACATCACCACCAGTTAACTCATTTCATGTGGACTTCAACTTGAGTCAACAAAAACTTCAGGAATATCTATTAAAAATCCCCACTCCACCCCCAAGCTGGGGAGTTCAGGTTATAGCACTCACACTCTTACACAAAAAGACAAACACCTCCATAGAAACAAGCTCGTAAGGGGATAATGATGTGCCCATCTCCGAGGAAGCACAGGGTGTGTATTAGATATCTATTGTGTACCCTTCAATCATGCATAAAAAGAATCTTCCTACCGGAGGACCCTATGCAAAGAGACGATCCTTGGGAAGTTAGATCCACCGAGACCACAGCAGCGGTGCGAGTTCCCCCACATTTGTGCACAGCTCGGCAGAGTAATTGGGGTCTAGGGAAGGGTCAGCCCGGACCAAATGGGCACAACAGGACTAAAGATGATTGGAGTTAACTGCCCTAGTGGTAATAGGGGCTGGAACTACTTTACTTACTTGGAAAATGCAAAGGAAGGGGGAGGAGAGCGCAGTTTACCCAGGCTCCCTCACCCCTTCCTGATAGGACCCACTTGGCAACGGCAGAGACGACAAAAACCAAACGAAAGACTTTCCCAGGGGTGAAGCCCAAAGGTCAGTCCCAAGCTGTGCCGGACAATGGGGACCCAGCCTCCTCTTGTATCTTCCCTAGGGGGATGAAGGAGTCTTAATGAAGCGAGCTCCCCCCACCTCGCACCCCCTTCCCCCCTCCGGCGAAGATTCTAAGACCCAGCGGGTTCCACTCCACCTCCAGCCCCGGGCGGAGGAGGGGCGCCGGGCTGGGACAGGCTGGGATCGGCCACGCCCCTCTCCTGCCGCTGCTGGACCCCGGCCCCCGCCCGCGCTCCTGCGCCCCCGCCCCCGCCCCTGCCCCCGCGCGCCGCGCGTGCCCAGCCCCGAGCGCGTTCCCGCACTCCCGCGCCGCTGGCTGCGAGCGCTCAGATCCTGGCCGCCGCCGCAGCCCTTTCAGGCAGGGGACAGCGTCCGGCCCTAAGCCCCGCGCCTGGTCCGGGCTCGGTTCCCGCGCCCACGCGTGTCTAGCCCCGCAATCGCCTATTCTCTCTCTCTCTCTCTCTCTCTCTCTCTCTCTCTCTCTCTCTCTCTCTCTCTCTCTCTCTCTCTCTCCTCTCTCACATCACATGTCCACCTAGACCCTGGCCAGTCATCGGCGTCCCCTGCCTCAGTGTCCCCACCCTCCGCACCCTAAGTTGCACCCCGGCGGCCGGCGAGGGGTCGCGGACCAGGCTGGAGATGCGAATCCTGCAGCGCTTCCTCGTGTGCATCCAGCTACTGTGCGTGTGTCGCCTGGGTAAGTGAAAGGACCTCCGCGGGGCGGCCGAGCGGGGCTAAGTCCCTGGGACACAGCTGGGGGAGGTTTTCAGGACAGTCGGCAGCACCCTGGAAGTCACCCTGGCCTGGCCTCCTAGATGTCACCCGCGCGGACTGCGCCCCCACCCCCTCAACCGCGAGGCCGCCACCTGCCGGGTCCCCATACTGAGGCTTGCGTGGTCAGGACACCTGGACCCCCGAGTCTGCCGAGTCAGGGTCCTCACTTGCGCGTCCTCTCTTCTCCGCGTTGCAAACTGTGGAAACAGCCTTGTAGACCTATATACGAGGATGAGTCGGTGACTGGAAATACAATCCAGCGGTGGCGAGGGGCTGCGACCGGAACGTTCATTTTTATGCTGCCAGGACTGTGGACCTGAACGGAAAGTACATGTGTCTGTCTTGAATTACACGCACTAGCCTGAAAGATACTGAACTGAACAAGCACCGACCTGACTTCTCGGTGGTTCTAGTACTTTCAGTTTGGTCACGTTCAAGTCCAGGCAGCCATTTACAAAAAAAGTTTCAGTCAAATCCCTAGGAGCATTCTGTCCCAGCTTCCAGAGCTGCTGGTGATGGGCTTACCGGAGACCCAGATTTTCCTCAAAGCCCTCCATACCATGAACGTGTTAGACGACGTTGTGCTCTGCGACCAACTGTTTGAATCACCAGTGTGTGTGTGTGTGTGTGTGTGTGTGTGTGTGTGTGTGTGTTTCTATTTTCTTACTGAAAGCAGCCTTCATGGTGATTAAAGGACTATTTGGAGCCATTAACCTAAAATTTAGGATATATGCCTCGATTTGTGATTTTAACTGTTTAGCTCCCATCAGTCCTATAACCCTACTTTTAACTTTTTAGATTGTTTATAATAAATGATATATTCGGTGTGCATTTCCAGCCAGTGGGTGGTGCTGCTTTTGGGGTCCTGGCCTTTGTAAACAGGAGTCCTTTCTAGTTCTGATGAGAATTGTGTCGCCACTATAGTGATGGCTGCCTGTACTTCACTCGGTTTATTCTGTACCTCACTTCAGTCCCTAAGGCTTGATGAAGGTGTTCAGAACTGGTGTGCTGGATGCCTTGCACACCGCTCACGTGTAAGACAGCAGGACCCCCCTCCCAGTCCCTTGCCTCCGCCTGACTGCAGGCTTGCAGTTGAAAGTGAGTCTGGAAGATCCCCCTGCGTTGGAAGAACTCTTCTAATCCACACCTGTTGAATTTGCATTTCCGCATTCCACTCATAGGCATTTTAGCAACAAAGCCAGGTCCCCTTGATACTTAAACTATTGTTTAAGGAGATCTTGCAGTATTAGGGATGCAAATTACAGTGTTGCTCTGCGCTTCAGCAAAACAGATGCCCAAGACTACATTAAGAATGGTTTTAATTTAGAAAAACAACATCAATTGCCACACCGTTCATCTGTTTGAAGTGTAAGGTTTGGGGGTATTTTGCAGAGTCAGAGTTGTGTGTCATTATTGGCATCTGATCCCAGAGCATGTCATGAGCCCTCCTTGCTCATTAATAGACATTCCCATCCCACCCTTCAGCGTTCTGTGTCTATTGACCAGCTTGCTCTGGACATTTAATCCGAACAGAATCCTGAAACATGCAGCCTTTCATTCCTGGCCTCATTCACTCAGCAGAAGGTTTTCAAGGTTTACCTATGTCAGAGGGAGTATCAGCACTCACTGGTTTTTATAACTGAGCCATTATATGCAAATCACACATCTACAAAGTTGATTTTTATTTTTTTCTCCATAAGGCATTACCTGTAGCCTGCTTAGGATTGTATAGATTTTGGCTTATTGGCCACATGCATTTGAAGACATAGAGCATAAGGGGGAAGAACTGAATGCATTGTTCAAGACAGTTATAGGCTCATGTTGAGGCATCAAATCTAAACCTATCCATAAACTGAAATACGAGTTCGCCCCCCCCTCCGTTTCTTCTTCTCTCCCTCCCTCCCTCCTTTCCTCCCTCCCTCCCTCTCTCTTTCTCTCTCTCTTTTCCTTCCTTCTGTCCTTCTTCCCTTCCTTTTTCTTTTCTTTCTAATGACTATTACTGTGAGAAGACTATGTTTTTATCCCTCGCCATTTAAAGCAGCCTTATGCATTGCTCCAAATAAGCTGATCTGGGGACACTGGTCAAAGGGATGGATATATTGACCTTCCAGTGACATATTGTGGAAAACTGAGGCACATTATCTACAAATGGAAAATTCAGCCTCCCCTTTAATGCCCGTCCATGTATACATCAGTGTTTGGGGATCTTCCATTGTTGGAGCCATCCAGGTACCGACATACCACCATAAAATGTGCTCAGTAAAAGGTTTGAGTACTGACTGAGGGTGTGATGCATGCTGGCAATTCTTAGATAGTTGGACCACCATTCATACCATTATCCAGTAGCAGAAGAATTCACTCAAGTACTCACTGTTTACAGTTAAGAACATCTCTGTGATCAGGGCAGTATCCCTGTCTGAGTCCCACATGTCCTCATGGTTTGAACCAAGCTATTTGACTTTCCCATACGAAGGTTCGTAGGACCGTGAGTCATGGAGGAAACCGAGGGGCTTGAAGAGCCATTAAGGAATCACTTCTTTTCATTCATGAGACCTTAGGGTCTTAGAATTAAGCCAGTCACAGAGCTGCAAGGGCCAACAAATCCTCATGTTTTCACACTCTTGTTAAATAGGTAACAGGTGAGATTCTAAACTTCCTAGTCATGTCTCACTGCTATGGGGGCCACGTTAAAAATGGGTCATACCTAAGGCCCCTGCAACAATTAGGACTGCAGTGGGTTCTGGGTGTGGTACCAGGGGCTCCTTCAGTGTTGACTCTCAGTTTGTCCTCTACAGCAAGTCATGCCATAAGTGTAAAATTTGCTCCCTCCAAATAAAAACTAGTCACCATTCAGGAAATTTATTACTTTTGATTAGCATGATAACACTTTCTTGTACTTGGGATTTCCCACCCTCCTCGCCGCTGCCACCTTCAGAGCTCTCAAGAGAGAAGTTTGCGGGAGAAATTACCTTAGCAATGAATTATTTCTACACTAGAAATGAAGGGTCTCACTTACCATTATACGTATATTGTGAGAATTTTGCTTCTGGGAAACAATTTTCTTCTGGAAGCAAGATCTGTTTCCCCCTCCTCACACTTCAGGGAGGTCTGAGTGAGTCTGTCCTGGGAGTTCAATTTGAGTACCTGTTTGCTAATGTCTGTCTCAGATTGTGTCTGGAAATGGCTCTGTTAGCCAAGACCACAGCACCTAAAGGAAGTAGTTGGTGCTTTAGATCCACTTGCCACCAACTTGAGCGTCCTTCTGGTACCATTCCTGTGAATGTCTACCCATCTTCTCATTTCCTTCTCCTTCTGATATAAATTATGGATGAGACAACATAGATACAGAGAAGTCAAATGACTTTCCTGGCATCACACAGCCTAGTTAGTCTTTGTTTCTTCCAAACCAGACACTTCCTTTTCTGTGGTTTGTTTTTGTCTCTTTTGTTTATTCGTTTTGCTTTAGACCGGGTCTCCTGTAGCAGGCTGGCCCTAAAAACTCTGTGTAGCCAAGGATGGCCTTGAACTCCTGATCGTCCTGCCTCCACATCCTAAGATCTGATGTAGGAGGCATGTGCCACCATGCCTGGATGATGCCTTTTTGTGTTCACTCCGAGGATGTATTTTCCTGTTGAGAATTTACCGACTTGAGTCCCGGGATGGGATGTAGCATTTCACTCCTGTTTGCTTTCCTGCAAATGCCCCTGGTGACTTTCGTTGTACATTTTCATGTTGCATTTATTTCCCTTTTAAAAAATGAAGCATAGTCTGTCATATTTAGGTGACCTCAATGAGATCTTGAATATTGTGGCAATTCCATACTGTCAGTGATGAAGGTAGCCCCACCTGGACTACTGTTTCCCTTCCTTTGCTGTTGTCTGCTGCACATAAAGAACCCAGCAGGGCTGAAGAGGTCTTGATACCTGTGCCCTCCACCCACATGTTCTGATTCAACCCCACACTGAAGACCTTTAAACCTCATTTTTAAGCCATTCGTGATGGTTTATGCCTATAATCCTAGCACTCGAGAGGCTGAGGCTGGAGGTTCCTGTGAGTTCATGACCAACCTGGGCTACATAGTGAGCTTCAGACCAACAGCCTCTTCTACAGAGTAAAATCTGTCTCAAAACAACAAGAGCCAATAAATAAATCAATACCACCCCCCAAGAACCGCATCCTAACTTTTATGATTCTTTGCTAGACTTTTGAGAGTAACTGTCTTTTCCAGCAATCTGTGAATGTGTTAAATGTGTTCTCAAATATTGTAAAATGCTTCCACTCACTCTGTAATGCTAATGGCGAGAGCCAATTTAAGTAAGAAACATATATGCATGTATCTGAAGTCATTAGAATTGTCTGGAGTGCTAATACATGGCTTGTGTAGTGGGAACCAATTTTTATCTATATCTGCAATTCTCCCGATATATGTATTACATGTATTAGGCATAAAAGGGAAATATTTTATGCTGTTGCAATTCCTAAAAAATAATTCAATTTTTAAATTATGCTGCTTAGTACCATGGCCACTAGGCATATGTGGTTGATTCATAGCCTATCAAAGTGAAATCACTCACTTCCTTGGCTCACACTAACGGTAACGACTGAAGTGCATCATAGCCTTGTCATCTACGTGTGTGACTACAATGTAGGCAATTTCAGCGCATTTCCATCACTCAGGAAATCTACTGATTGGGAGATGATGGTGCAGATGACAAAGTGCATACCTTGTAAGTATGAGGACTGGAATTCAGAGCCCACAGTGAAGCCACGTGTGATGGTTTCTGGTTGAAGTTCCAGTGGTGAAGACTGATCAACACCGGTGTGTCTGTGGAGCCTACTGTCCCAACAGTCCCACCTACTAGACAAAGCTCTGGGCCAATGGCAGACTTGGTCTCAAAACTGGGTTGCACCTGAGGAATGACA